AAGCTTTTTTTAATTTAGAAAATGTCACTGATTTAATGTTGTCAGTTGTAAAGAGGTGTGTCTCAACCAGATTGTAACAAAATTACCACAGCTTATTCCAAAAGAAACTATTAAGCTTTATTGAGGTATAGTTGAACAACTAGTTACTGAGTTGGGCCAGTGGTTCTCAACTAGGGGTCGGGGTGCGCTGGGACGCAGTGGGTACCCCGAAGTACCCTGCAGTGTGCAAGACAGCCCCCACGACAAAGAGCTACCTACCCAAAGTGTTAGACTAACTTGAGAGATCTAGACTCCAGTCTCAGCCTGTTACCAGGTGACCGCACCGGAGCCATATTTCTTCAGTTTATAAGAACAGGAATGGTGCTTCTGGAACCTGGCTGTGCACCTGCAGAGGCTTGAAGTAGCACCCGTGTCTCTGGACCCCATCTGGCCATGATGACACGGCTCTGCTTTAAGAGCGGGAACGGAGGAACAGTTAGATCATCTGATCCACTTTTAGCTCAGGGATTTTTATGACAGCAAGATTACAGTACTAGCTGTTTTTAAGTAGCTTTCAGGGCAGATCTGTAATCCCTGTCTTAAAGCACTGAAAGCCACATGGTTGCTCTGCAGTATTGTTTTGCACACAGAGGTGAGTGAAGGAGAAATGACCTTGTTTGATGTCGATTCCTCTTGGCATCAGGTACCCTTTGTGCAGCTGGCCTTCAGTGGTCCGGCTGAAAGGAGTAATCCGCACTGTCTCAGGCATTTTACTCACACCAGAAAGATGCTGGAATATATATACCATACTTGGCTGGTAGACACTTTGTGCTAAGGGAGACCCTGGCTTTAAAAGGACAGGAACTGTCAGCGTGTCGGGTCTGGGATGCTGGGTGCAGCTAGGCACAGTGCTGCGGGCTGGCTGAGGGGTGGGAGCTGAGTCCATGATGATGTGAAGTTATCCCTGTCTGAAGGCAAAGAAGGGCCTTTCTGTGTGGAATTTGTATATCTGAGACTCAGTTTCCCAAGTTTGCTTTGTTTTTTTAATGCCTGATTTAAAAGTGAGCTACCTGAGAGAGATTGTGTATATCTTCTTGAATAGGTTTTTCTTTGCAATTTCTCCTCGCCAGGTACAGTCTCAGCCTCAGTTTGAGGCCGAAAAGGATGCTCCAGAACAAGACACTAACTAGCAGCAGTGCCGTTTCAGCTGCTCTGGACCCGAGGCGGAATTTCTCTCATGTGTGTAATAGAGAAGATCTTTGGAACAGGCTTGGGTGGAGTGTTCCTTTTGCTTCCCCTGTCCTGGCCTTTGAGTTGTGCTGAGTGGCAGGGAGACTTTGACATAGGTTTGTTTTCTTCGCTAGGTGTCTGCAGTGAGTGAGACAGAATTGAACTGCTTTGCCTGAAGCAAGTGAAATGATGATTCTTCTCCTGTTTGTAAGCTTTCTCTTTCATCTTACATGTCCCAAAGAAGCCGCACAATCCTATGATGGTTAGTTATCCCTGTCTGAAAATTTCACCTGAGGGAAAACAATCTGTTCTGAGGCTTAAGGGGCTGGCCCTGTGCTCTTAAAATAAGTTCAGGCTCTCTAAGGGATCAAATTGAATGGACTCCAAAGGGAATTGTGCATACCCTGCCAAGACCCCAGTCCTAATGCATCATCCCTCTGCAGCTTGAAAACCGGTGGTGTGGCTGCCCTGTCACACTTTAGGCCCCTTGATTAATGGCTCTGAGGGCACAGGCTATAAGAGGTGGCAGAAATGGGCAAGTGGCCCAGATTTGGTTTATACTCTTATTGTGGAATGAAAGAGTGCTAGTCACATATTTCAAGAAAATTAATGCGCTGTTTGAAACAGGCGGGAATGGCAGTTGTATGGCAGCTGTGGCAATGAGAACACTTCAGGATATCTGACCT